AAACAGTGTCAGAAACTCGGAATTTTCTACAATCACGCCAAGTTCCTAATCATATCTGGAAGTTCTTTTGTGATCTTGAAAACTACATAAATAACATCTATTTTTGCAGCAGAAATGTACAAACAAAAATTACAGACTTTACGTAGATTTCGAATTGAATTTTATTTATCTTTTTGTGTTCTTTTTAGCCATACCTACTAACTTCTACTACTCTATGTAAAAATAACGAAATAAAATACACCACGTGTTTTTGTATTATTATTCGATTTAACGAACCAGTTTTAGTTCATTTTTCAAGTTCGTTATATGCGGACTCAACTGTATTTTTGATTGAGGATTAATTGCAATTTTTCATATGCCTGAATATTAAATGCTTCGTAGATAGGTACTAGCAGAAGCGTTTTTGTTTTACCGTAATAATATTATAATGACTGTGCAAATTATCTAAGCAGGTTTTTCCTGACGAAAAGCAATAATTATTAAAATGTGACTGGCGGCGTTACGTGTTATTTGATCAGCTTATCCAGTTAATCGCCTGACCGAACTACAATTAAATATAAAAATGAATCACACCATTCGATTCTTTCATTTCTATTCTATGCTTAGCTTGTTCGCGTTTCCTGCTCGTAAACGGACGCACCACAGCCAAGCCAAGCCAACTCTTTACCTTTATTTACAAATCATCTATACGAATCTCCTGCGGTCTAAAAATAACGTAATTTATTTCGAGCCCGAAAGCGACCAAAAACTCAATAATGAAAGCTGTTGAAATACCGTGAGCGGATGCGGCAACGTGGCCTCAAGCTGAACTTTTCTGAACGCATAGTAGACCGTGTTAATTGAAGTTCGGACGAGTCCACATTTCGGTCGAGGGACGGTGGGTAGAGCTTTTATTGTTCCTGAACGGTACAGGCCCCGTTTCGTTACATTACAATAGCCTGGCTTTTATTTCCATCCTCTCATTTCTTTTTTAATGCCGTCCTTAGAATTGTGTTCCATCCATGGCATTGTCGAGACGGCTTTGCGAACAAGTGCATCTGCGTTTTTCCCTTCCAGCCAACGTATTTCGTTGTCGGCTTTTCGTCATTTGTTTTTAACAATTGAGCTGGTGTTTCTGTTATCAGCAGCGCGACAAAGTTCAGTAATTGCGATTAGAAACGAAAATCGTCATTGTAATCGCACTTTGATGGACCCGATTTTCACATGCAACGGCCAAATATGGAATTATGCGCCACTTTTTCGTTAACTTTCACAATGTACGAGAAATCAAGTCAGATTTCTCTTGAAGTAGGTAACTCAAATCCCACATAAGTGGCTTAAAAATACGTTTCACGTGACCAAGTACAAACTAGTCAATTTCCATATCCTTCACACGTACATACACAGTGGCTATGCATAATTTCCAAAGAAATCAATTCACTAACTTTGGGCGGTAGCCGCCGCCATCTTTCATTTCAAACCTTGAAAATCCTTGTTGGGAATAGGAATAAAGTCGTATCTCGCAACTCAAAATACTAACCAAATAACTAAATAATCCAATAAATTCAGTAAAGTTGGTAATCCAAAAATTCACTGTAATCCATGAAAAGAACTGCCCTACTAATCCCCTAAGTCTCTTTTTTCAAAGCTCGAATTCAAAATCAAAATGTCCGATCGAAATCGAAGCTGTACAAGCATTTGGTTTCAGCGAATGCTTCTGCCCCTCTGACCGCTGGCACAAAGCGCATAAGGAAACCCAACCCGACCAACCGGACCAACCAGCAGGGTCACGTGTCAGGTTACTTCCCCTCTCCAATCTGTCGGTAAGTGGGAGGCAAAACGCGACCTCTAGGAAAGAAAGTTTACTTTGTTTGGGCAAATCGGAAAATTGTAGTATTTGAACTGGTTTTGTCTGCGGTCACCAGATGCCACTGCTAGGAACTTTTGAACGCTCAACACGAGAGTTTTTTATAAAGCCCCTATTTTGAGTACCGAATGGTTTCATATTAATGATCATACATTGAAATTTGGCTCGGTCTTTTTTGAAGGATACACTTCGAACGGTTACATTTTTATTGAAATTTTATTTAATCCTAGTGTTTGTTCTTAGTAGTGGCGGGTGCGTTTCAAAAAACGGAAATAAAATGACTGATTCATTTCGCAATCAAATGCTGTCACCTCGACCTCTCGGTTAAAAGGTGCCATAAATTATTAAAGTATTTATTAAAAACTTGTATATACTTTCCTGACTGTGTTTCAATTGCAAATCAAATTCATTCCTGGGTTTCAGTCATTTATTGTCTCTATCAATCAAAATACGTTTCATTGTATTTTTCCACCATCATCAAAAATGTGTAGCGTTGTTGCTGCTTTAAGCCTTGGCATGCATTTCAATGTGCCTTGAACCAACAACGCTACACATAAAAACTGATGATGGTGGAAAAATACACCGAAACGTATTTTGATTGATAAATAGAGACAATAAATGACTGAAACCCAGGAATGAATTTGATTTATTAAAAACCCAACATAACATAATGACAAAAAATATAGTTACTTCACACTCAATAGGCATTAAAACAATGGTCCAGTCGGTTTGTATTGTCTTAATCTGAAAATTATCGGTTACATACCCACATAAGAAATAGCAAATTTAATATACAGGGTGTATCTAATTGGTCCACATCAAAAGCCGGTCGTTTATCAGATTTGTGGCTTCTAATCTTTCATTTATAGCATAACTTTTTTTGGCCATTTGTTGTTTAGATTCGTCATTCGTAATGATAGTTGGACATTTTTGCTGTATAAAAATCACTTTCACATGAAAACAAGCCTCCTAAATATTCGTACGTGCTGAATTTTCAATCACTATATCGCACATTTTATTTCTATTTTTTAATCCATCTGCATGTCACATCTGTTCTTAGTGGCTCAAATCACCCCAAATCAACCACTTTTTTTTATTGAGGATAAGGAGCGAAGGGGGTTTAATTAAAATGCAAGTTATTCACATTAAGATATTTTATTAGATTTTGCAGTAGTAAATTGTCAAAACAAAGTGAAAAGTCTGACAAAAATACAAGTTATAAAAAGGTCAAGCATTCAATCCATACATAGTAGGATTTAGCTATAGATAGGTACCAGTTTAATGCGTTATAGATACGTTTTCTATTTTTGAAAAACAAACTTAGAAGCTACATAACTCGCAAACTGGAGTCAGAATCCCGATTAACTAATCACAAGGTGGAAGGTGGCAGCGCAGACACAATCAAACAGTAAAATTTGAAGGAAACATAATTGTTGATACACTTTTGATACGAAGTTCACTACTTCTACACGTTGATCATATAATATTATTTCTATAAATATTTGAGATTTTAACAGAATAGAATTTTCACTACTTCTTACACATAGAAAGGCCTTTAGTTAGTTCATTATTTGTGTCCTAAAAGTAAACGTATCTTTAGACTAAAGCATAAGAAAACTCGAGGAAATAAATCGGTATATACAAATGATTAATTTTATAACGATGGTTCGATCGCAGTTGTACGATGCAACAAATATTGAACCAGCCTATACGCGAAAGTAAAACGCTTCTAATCCTATCAGTAATACATATTGCAAATTGTACAAAAAAAGAAAACTTAAATAGATAAGTAGGTGTCTATGAACAAAATGAAAACTATGAAACTTCTTAACATATGCACAAATACTTTACTTACAAGCGAAAGTAACTTAATTATTAACTAATAAATACTTTGTTGTTATGTACACTTAGTAAATAATATAAATTTTTCTGAAAAAAAAATCATTTTTGGGGAATGTTACTTTGGTATAAATAAGGTATTGGTAATAGTTTTTATGTACAGAATATTTTATGGTGTATCTTGTCTCCGACTTTTATAACATGTTTAAAAGTGTTTGCTCTAGTCTGAACATTGAAAACTATGAATGCGAAATAATGTAGTGATTGTCTCTAATCACCGAACAGCAAATAGACAACAAGATACACAGAAAAATATTAATAAATACCTAAAACTAAATTACGCAAAAGAAAATCTAAGGCTTTAAGGAAAAAATATCACAAAACAAAATACGGAACTGGGATTGTGATGTAATAAAGCTTTTCAAAAAAGTTAGCGGTGCGAGACATTTACCTACTAGGTACGTGAAATATTTTTAGTAGTGTCATTTGTAGGTCTACCATATCATATAAGTTATAGTATTTTTATCGTATATTTACGAAATAACGCCAAAAGTATAACGGTTTTGTGCAAACAGAAAATCGGTAAAGTCTGGTTTCACTACGAATTAAACGAAACTTATAAACAAACATACAAAACTTACTTAGTTTGTAATAACTGAAATCAGGTAATATCAAGGCTAAATCTTTGCGATCTAGCCCTTAAACTCACAAACACAAATCAAACGAAATCGGTTACTCTCAATCTTGGGTCAAGATTGCCCACAGTCAGTTTCACTTTTAAAGCCCTTCAGCGGGTTTTGAAGCGGGCAATTTTATCCCTAGTGAACCCGCGTTTATTTCCTACAACTACCAATCAACAATGAAGAAGCCTAATCCTTCAACAGTTCCCTGAGCCGCATAATTTCCTTATGCGCCTGAGCTAGTTCTCCTTGTAGGACTAGTTCCTTCTCGCGTAACCTCTTAATATCTCGTTGACAACTCTGCAACAAAAATGCAAGTGTTTTTATTTTATCATATTTTAATTAGTTCAATGTTATGTCTATAGATGAGCGCCCCTTTTTTTCGTACGGGACCAACGAATTAAGCCAATCAAAATTTATTTTTGCCTTGTTTTAAATGAGATAACTCACATATACATTTATCGGGCGAATGCACTCTTCAAAGGGCACATGTTATCTCATTTAAAGTATGGCAAATATTCATTTACATTCGCTCAGTTCGACCCGTAGGAACAAATGCGCGCTTCCCAATTGATGGTTGATGGAATGAAGACATTTTAGTTCCTAACAATTTCAGCTCTGTATCTGTTGGTCATCATGAATAATTTAAGTAGAATGATAAAAATCATCAACTAACCACATTCTGTCGAAGTAAATCGAGCTTATCGCACTTCAGCCTGGTGACTTCTTGGGCGAGGGCGTCTTGTTGAGAAACACCTTGGCCTCCAGATGTGCCACTATCAGGACGATCTTGGCACAGGCTGCAAGCTTTTGCTGCCGTTTCGGCCGAAGACATCGATTCCAACCCTGTATCACTATCAACATACCTGGAAGCAGAGTAAAAGATAAATTAGGAAAACCTGCAGGAATTGGTCGAATGTTTACGCACCCTCCTGCCAAGTGTTCCAAGTCTTCTGATGTCAATGATGAGTCGTCGCTTGCTTCGCTTAGAGCAGGTCGTGCATTTGAAGAAGCGTGTGCGGTCAGGTCTGGTGAAGAAGCTGTTGAAGAGCGTCCGCTACCCGTGCTGCCTGATCCGCCTGATTTCTTTGAGTTCGACACGATTGAGGATTTTGATATCGATCGTCCGCTCTATAAATGGAAACAATGCAATTTACGCAATGATTTAGAAGCTCTAACCGGAACTTACCGAGGGAGTTAATTCTGATATCGGAGGCTGGCTGGTCTTCTTGCCGAGCTTATCGTGGTGATGATGGCTTCCGGGTCCCAGATTATTATCACTTTGGCTAGTTTTCACTTTGGCTGCGCTCCAAGCCTTCTTCACCGTGTCTATGAAACGGGCTCCAGGGCCGGATTCGCCCTTGGGAGTGCCAGGCGCTGTCGATGGAATACCGCCCAGAAAATCTGCAGTTTTCTCCTGCAACAAAACCCGAACGATTTTTATTTGTCGTCATTTCAACACCACCTGTTTATCGACATTATTCACCAGCTTTGACTATCGAGAGTTTCACAGGGCGAATTAACTCACTTTTCATGCACCAGTTGTACCATTACATATTGAGTTGAAATATTAATTAGTGATTTCCAGTGCATATTTGCTTTAATTAATATAGGAAAAGCGACCAATCGTTCTGATCGAATCCCATTTCGCACACAATCTGGTATTCTTTTGTTATACGAGGCTTTGTTTCTGGCATAGGAATCACTACGAAAACTGAATTAATCTACAACGGACTTTTCTTATTTTTATGCCTTTTTTGTAGAATATTTGAAATATTAACTTTGATGAAAAATTGCGAAAAGTGCGCTATAAAGAGACGATTTGCTGATGAATACGTAAAATTTTAGAATAAAACTTGATCGCATACGCAACTGATAGCATAGTATAAAGTTGCTCAAATATTCGGCCAAATCCTCTAAATCAAACAATATCGCTTCTCTTTTGTTGGCTTCGTAGAGCGGCACATAATAGAATATTGAACATTGTTTCCGGACATTGTCGTTGGTACAGTTAATGGCTTGACTGTAAAATGTAGATGTAGGTTTAATATCTCCGGATTTTATCAATATGTTGGAATCTTTTCAGAATTTTAATAACCACTGGGCAGACGTCGATTGTCGATATCTATCTGTATGCCAGAGGAAACACGTGAATATTTAATGAACACTAATTTGATTCTGTCCGTTCTACAGGGTGTTTGAACTATGATAATTGGACTGGACTTTTCTGGTATAAATGAGGGCCCCTAAACGCTTGGATCTGGATATATTTGAAATGTATTCATTATAAGAAACTTCTATTTCTACCCCCTTGCTTTGCAGAGGCCAACATTCTAACAACCGTTTCTTTTAGGAAACTTTGATAAATTTGTGAAAGTTAATACTCAACTCACCTTTAAATCGTCTATTAGCGACTGCAGTAAAGCCGTTCTTGTTCGAAGCTCAAGTTTGGAGAACTTTTCCGCTTTGTAACATGCATTCTCAGCATTGATCAACTTGGTCAATAGAAACTCCTTGAATTCTGGCCCATGCTTGAAAATTGCCGGTGTTGGCAAAGTGGGCCCGAAGAATGGTACGTCGTCCCTTGCGGTCACACTTACTTTGTACCTAAAAAAATAACAACAACATGTAGTGCAAATCGTTCTAAGATCAACGTTTTTTGCATAATTATCCCTTTTTCTAGTAACCTTTGTAATAAAATTCGAAATTGGTTAACTACCAATCCATCTGATTCACGTAATTTCCAGTATCAAACAATTTTTAGCTGATTTAATTTCGTCCATTAAAATATCAGTTGGAAATTTCCTCTTGTAACCTGCATACCGAATCTCAATTTCAAAGCAAATTTCACCCTCGACTGACAATGAAAAGCGTCAGCCAGAACTGTGGAGGTTATTTAAATGGCAAAGAAACCCTCATATTTTTTCACCATGAATGGCTTTTCGAAATGGTCGCGAAACGAAACGGGGCAAAAGCCAAAGGGAAATTTTTATTCAAAAATTATGGCGTATTTTACATTCTGAAGCAAAATGAAACGGTAAACCAACTAGAATAGTGTACAATTTTCTTTTAATTATGGAGCTGCATCGTGCCCGGCATGAAAAATTGAAATAAAATCAGTTTATAGTTGAATCGTTAGACGAATTAGGAGTAACAAGGTTCTGATTGTTAAAAGTCTTTGTTAAAATCGTCAAGTCCGATTTAAATTGAGGATTCAGATGCTTATAATTTACGTTTGTTTATTCCTTTTAATTAAAGGAAAATTACACAGTTTGAACAATTGGGAATGGGAAAAGTTGGTAAAATTGCGTTTGGTGCGAATTGTTCCCATTTTTCATAATCCTGACAGCAGTAGCATTGATATAGTTTTGAAAATAATTTATAGACTGTTTTATTGCACTGCTCACAAGCAGGCCACAAAATTTAATACAATATATATTTTCCTGCAATCCCCAGTCGACTCCCAAGCCCAGATCCCGTAGGAGTTGCGAGTCTAAGCTTGTAGGCTTCTCTAAGTCCTGGAAAGAGGCATGACTAGAATATCGGCCTGTGATTTCGATTCGTAAAATCTAGTGCAAATACGAGCAGGAATTTAGTGCGCCCAGACTGCTTGAAAGCTGTTGCTTAATTCGATTTCCTTACTGATCACATAAAATTGTCAACATTCTTCAACAGCAGTTCAAAATCATATGGATGAACAAATAAATGTTGTTAAAGAAATAGTTTTTAGAAGAAAAACATTCAGATGAGTCAAATCATCATTTTTGTACGGAAAACCTTATTACGACACCCTGATGCGAAAAATTATGATTTGTTCGAGATAGACTGACCAAAACTTATCGCTTTGCGAAAATGATTTGAAGCGATTGATAGTGGTAACATTTCCGCGAAAATGGAATTATCGGGTTGTGAAGCAAGGTCCGGAGTTGTTCCTAATTGAAATAAACCCGAATAAAATCGAGTGTTAAATAGTGTGTGATAACTGTGTTTATAAAAAGTGTTTAAGTGACCATTGTCGAATCTGACCTTAAAATGAAATTAAGTGAATTCAGCTACGTAGAGTGTGCCAAGGATGTAGAATGTTTGTTTTCATTGGAATACGTTGTTGAACACAAACATAAAACTTCGGCGAATTTTATACATATTTCCCAATCAGTACGAATCTAAATATTTTTCGTTTCGAGTGTTTGCAGATTGGCTTATCTAAACAAACCAGTGTATCTACGCAGACGATTTTTTGGGAACTGAATTAAAAAAAATAAGGAAATTTGAGGATCACCCAGACACACTGAATAGTTTTCATTCTTACCTTGTGTTTGGAGTATTCGGATCCAGAACCTGTACGACTATAAAAGCGTGTAGAAAGTGAGACGCAATCATATCGGGACAGAAGGGAGTATTTTCCTCTTGAAAGACTATGGCGACGATATCGTTGCCGATGTGTCGTTTTCTTTGGAGTTGCTGAGGATCATTGTCAGTGTACGGTAGCAGGGTGGACACATGGAACATGACCTCCCGCTCCTTGAAGATCTTAAAACAAAACGTTGCAGATCTGCGATAATTGAGGAAAAACCTAGCAGCTACCTCATACACAGCAGTATCTCCAGTATGCCCATTCTGGATATCTAATCCACCGCGGTATCCTTTATGGTCTTTAAGCTGGATTCTTTGACCCAGCAAGCTCAAGAAGTCGTCGAAAGCCGGACTGGTCACGCTATTGCAGAAAATCTCCTCCTCGGTAGTTTGTCCAAATTGTTGATAAAGCACTCCGAACTTGAATGTGGTCACCAGCACATGCTCGTCATAGTTTGCAATCAATTGCGAAGATTTCGGGTGTAATACCTGTTTGCAAACGAATACCCAATCAGCTTGGGAAAAGTTCAACTTCAAATTAAAATCAGCTCACTGGTTGGAAGTTATCCACGTTTACTTCTTCGTTGAGTAGTTTAGCCATCCGCGAAGGACTGGGATTCGGCCCCAAATAAGCAGAAGGAACAATTTCGTGTTTGGTAGCCGTTCTCAGCCTCAAAAGTACCCTCGTGTGTTCCTGCTGAGCCATAGTCTCAGTTTTGATAGAGAGCAGAACTGGACCAAGATTCTCGTCGGTACCGATCAGGTTGGAGTGTTCCTGAAACAAAACATCCTGTTTAATCATCATCGAGCTTAAAGCGTCGCGCTCTAATGGGAAATTGTGATAACTAGAGGCGCTGGAAATTAACGAGTCCGAAGCTTTTTCGCTTTTTTAATTACAAAGCCCAGTGAATCCAATGTACCTTTCGAGCCATAGTTTTTCGATTTGTTCGTTTCCGTACCGGGATATTAATCGTTTAGTCCAGGATTGGTATCTTCATGTCTGACCAACCCAAAGTTAATAATCGCAACAATAGGAAAAACAAATTATTTTCCCAAAAAGTGTGTAGTTTTTCTGTTGACGTTGGTTCAATACATTAGGATGAAGAAGAACGCAAACACCCTGTACCTACTCGATCATATTCAATTCCGGAAAGACGTCAAATTTCACAAAGAATTTAGAAAAACCGATATAAAAGCGGCTTTGGTCTTTAAAGGCTTCCCAAGGAACGTTATCGGCTTATGAGAATACCCGATGTCCCTTGGAATATTGCAGCCTGCAAGGCAATAGATTTTTGCATTTTATTTAATGGGCGATTCTCACTAAATGAAAACAAAAAACTGGTTAACGAGTCAAAATATATCAATCTTCATGCATTTTTGATTCATTTTAGCACATCTTTTCTACACCCAAAAGCTCTCGTATTTTTTAAATTTGAAATTTCCGGCTATATCAATGTTTGGTATATGAATTGTTATTATTTATTAAAAAAATGATCACGTTTAAGTGAAAAGCTCTTCCTAAATAAAATGCTTCAAATGAACAAACTGGAATTCCCGACAACTGGTTCTTTTATATTCGTTTTTCCATAAAAGTAATAACCTTTCCTATATGAGCGTGCATTTCTTTAAAAGACAATACTGCTCCACAGAACTAGAACATTCCATATAACCCAATCCACGTTGCAATTTTCCTGCAGTTTCCATATATACGCCTGCATAAACATCCATAAAAGCAGCCTTTGATATAGTTATATAGACGATTATTAGATCTACGGGGGAGATCATCCTCCAAGTTTTTCGTTTTTGGCAGCAAACAAACGGATCAAAACTTGGCTCGGGACTTGACTTCTAAGCGGTTAAGGACAAGTAAAAAATTAAAAAAATCATGGTTTTTTAATTTTGATGCGATCTGCTATGTTGAAATGATTTTCAAATACACAGGGTCTCGTAAAAGTGCTATATGCATCAACGATGGTTATCTAAGTGGCACATTCAAATTTTCTCTTTTTTTCTAAATTCGGCGTTCAATTTGCAATCATTTGATGCCTCATTGTCGACAATTTGCTACTATGGTTGATCGGCATTTTAAGTTTTTTCATTAACTGCTCAGGTGTCTTTTCTACAAATTCCCAAAGTTTGAACATTTCAGTTGTCTAAAACTATTTTTATTCGAATGAATCAAAAAGTGCCATTTTGCGAACAGAAGCGATGATCAAAAAGAAGCACTTTTCTTTAGCGTTCATTTGTTTTACTTTTACGCACGGACTTTGCCGCACAGTGTGCGACAAAGTAAATGTGACACTTTGAACTTGCCACTGTCATTATATATTTTTTAGTATTTTTATTTAAAAATAACCGAAATGCTTTTTTAAGGAATTACGTAGGTTTATCAACAACTATTGATCCTATTTTCAAGTTTACTTACAATTTGTAAATTATACCTTTGTTACAAGTTCAGTCTCATAATCATTTTAATCGCCTACTTATCTACTTTTGCGATGTTGTCACACGTAAAACACGATCTTTTTAAGAAGCGCAAATGTCATGCAGAGTATGCAACATGCATACACGATCCCAAGACCGCAGGTGTTTTAAGTTGAAAACAATATTTAACAAAAATTTACAAAAGTACTTAAACTTAATTACAAACTTCAAAACATGACATTTCAAAAAATGACATTGCCACAAAATTTTAAATATGAAATCGATGCATTTTATTATTCGTGTAATCTTTTATTCGAATAAAAAATAGTGTTCGATACGAGGGCGAAAATTTGTTTTTCGAACTCCTGACGGATTGACACCCTCGACTTCGTTTCGGGTGTCAAACGCCGTCGTCGTTCGAAAAACGACATTTTTCGCCCTTGTATCGAAAACGACTATTTTTTATCGAGTTATCATTTGGCAGGCTTGAATAATGCACTTGACACTGGTTTTTTAAATTTTATTAACAGTTTGTGGTTTGTTTAATTTGTATAAAGCGTTTTATGTTAGAAGCTCGAATTGAGATTTGCTGTTCTTTTCCGTAGAATAACTCTACGTTTCCAACAAGTTTCAATTCGGGCGGCAGAAGAATAAGCAAACGGGGATTTGCTGGCGACTCACAGTAATTATAAACGGTTTCAGCGTTGAGTCGCAAAAAAAACGCAATTCCTTAATGCATGGCGAAATCCTGTGGGTGCTTCTAAGCCTGCAAATCAAGTTTCCTTAAGCTGTAATTATGTGTGGTCTTTTGTCGATCTTCACTCACGGGACTTTTGGCATCATTTGCGCTTTATGTCCAGTGTCCAATTAACGATCTTCCGTTAGTCTTCACGTAGGTGAGTTGGCAGCTATTGAAGATGAAATACGCATCCTCAAACTCGTTGATTCTTCGGCTTACAATACTGGCTGATTGCTGGTAAAACCGAACCGAATTGGAGCAAAAAGAGCACAATAGCATTGAAACGCCATCGGTGCATGGCTAGTAATGCAACCCATACTAAAATGAATTCAAATTGCACACCCACCTTCTAAACATCGAATTAAGGTAATTCGAAGTGCCCTCCTTAATGACATGGTAGAGAATGGGTCGGTTCCGCCCAGAAATACTCTTGAGCATGCTGGCTGCCTCTTAAGGGATAGGTCCCATTAGATAGTTATAGTGGTTACAAGTTAGTCACGTTTTACGACTGCGAAACGTGAATTAGTGATGGAGATAATCGATTTGTTTTTATGATCAAGATATGAATGACTAAAACTGAACAAATTATTCGATTTATGTATATGTCACTATCTCGATATCGATCCCGGATCCACATTTCTTTTTGGTATCACTAAAATCGTATTTAACTTTTGTATCGTCCTCTATCGCCTTTAATTTCAATTGCTTTCCTACTCATAGTTTGAACAATCGATTATTTTTAGCAATTATCTGTTGTTTACATCAAGACACTTTTTCGATGGACATCATCTTCCACTGCCAATTAAAACGTTGTAGAATTAGCATCCTGAAGTTAATGATGATGAATTTTCAATGCTGTTCCTTCACCCCGTTTGTTACCCGAGACAACAACTTCAAACCGACATCAGCTCTGTTTGCTGCCGAGCCCAAATCCATTTAGGCCGGATATTACGTATTCTGAAGTTGCACCCTGATGCACTTCTGCATGAACTAAAGCCCCTAGAATGGGGCATTGCCTCTCAAAATTATCCAAGTACGTGGTGCTAAGATTATCATCAGTCAGGCACTCGAGTACAGTTGTCAGGTGGAGACTCCCACTAAATTGTTTGTGAAATAATAGGCCCATGTTAGCTGGGTATAGTTGGGTCGTTACCATCGCCGTATTATTGTCGGATGGAGCTCGGCGCGTATGCAAATTTTGCCACTAGAGAGATAACTCGTTTCAGTGTTGGATAATTTAGATGTGTAGCTGATTTAGGCTGGCCTAACGAACTATCATTGTAACTACTCAAATTTGCCCAAAAATTCTCTGGGCATGTTGCAGCTTTATCCCGCTAGACATCCGCAACAGTTCCTTTATCAATCAATATTTTGCAGTTTTGAACATTTGAAGGTGAGAACTGTGTTGAAACCAAACGAAAAAAATCGGGAAATTGTTGATGCCTTTCGTGTATCGTTCGGTTTAATCTTTTAATCGTCAACTGCATTAAAAACTGTCCTTTATTCACTACATTTAGATCCCATACTACTTGACCGAACCTTGTATGCCATGATTATTTACAAACGCTGCATACTTTTCATAATATTCTATTGCCTTGCTGCTCAGATCATAAGCTGAACGTGTAACAAGATAGTGGAATGTATGTATATTTTTTGCCAATGTTTTCATTTTAGACCAAGGCTACCAACTGTCCCATATATGGTCTATTTGAAAACGTGTTAGTGAATTCAACTCCAAAATTAAACATATTCTAAGATCGATCGAATAAAGCAGAATGGCCGTTGTTTAATGGGGAATGTGAACAAAAAATCACTGAGACTGTTAAAAGTAATTTTAAATCCCAACACATTTATACGACTAATTCCCCAAAAACATAACAGCGCTTAACGGAATATTGGACGGATATTTGATACAATATAAAAGATTTAAAACGATTTCCTAATAGAAACCGATAAAAAGGCACATAACCGTCGCTGTTCTCTTAAAAAGACACGATTTTACCATGGCGAATTCGTGCCCTTTGAAAAAATTGCCACAATAAGGAATCCTATCTTGGCGTCGCGCACGACTTGCCTCCATAGCGAATCTCGGAACGTGAACGTATGGAAAATAATGCGTTTTCATAACTTTTATTTCCGAAGATTGATTTCAATATTTCTGTATTCCATATACGAGCAGTTGTGTACGGAAGTAACAAGACTTTTGCATCTACAGGCCGCATAAATCGATTTGATCTGCGCCATATTTAAAAAAGGTTTAATCAAATCACGCCGTTTTTTTTCTATTTTTCACGTACGAGTAAAATAAACTCTACAAAACGGATTACTAGAGAACCCTTACTGTGGTCGTGATTACAACAAGAAATATCCAATTTAAATCTGGAAAATCCAATTAATTACCAGGCTGTGGCAAAGGTTGAGGCATTATTCAAGCACAGGTGCGTAATAGAACTAATCCTCCTCCTCCTCAATGATCCTTGATGTACGCATTTAGCGTGGCAAAAGCGTGCTATTTGAATAAAGCAACCAAACGGTCTTAGTTTCGTTTGATTTACTGATTAATGAACGAAATGTTTTTGAATAAGACGAAGAAACGCCGAGACTGGCCAAACTAAATAGAGATTATATCAAAGGTTTCATGGAATCGAACGATATTCAGATCATTTGAAAGTTCTTTTGCTCAGACTCGTGCCAACTCATCAAGTTTTTGAACAGATTTAACTCTGATTCGAGCTTGGTAATTTTCCCATCGCATTTCCATTTCACCAACTCATATTCCATTATAATTGGAACCGTCCCCGCTTATTCGGAACGCAATTCTCTTGCTATGAAGCTGCGATCAAAGGCACCGAAAAAACAAAACCACTAAAACCGTTCGGTACGTGGTAAGAGAGGCTACTTTATGTATTGACAATGTACAGGCGATAAATCTTCGGGCTCTGTACGCAACCATTTCCAATGGATTCATATTTTTCGCTTTGCTGAACTAGATCACGAAACAATACTACCAGATATGCCTTGTAAGGCTGCAACCTTCGCCGGTTAGATGAAGATTTGTTTTCAGCCTGGCAAAAGGTCACTCGACAGATGCACAAATCCCTTATTTCATTTAAAATGATCGGTGCAAGGGAGGATCCAGGGGGGGTCATGGGGGTCATTTAATTTAATTCTCCCATTCAATTCTCTATCCAACGATGCCAAAATGAATTCTGTGGCTCGAATGGTTCTTGAGAAACCTCGAAAAAACCAGCGTCATGTTCAAGTGGATTTTACAACTCAAAAAAAACCACGCAAATCTGAAACTTCTTGAATTCAAGCCTTTTTTGAGAAAACTGCCAACATTTCCCCATCCATGGTTCA